TTGGTTTAGTTACAAAAGAAAATGGTTTAGGGTTGGAACACTTTAACCATCGCCAAGGGGTGGTTTTGTAAATTGTCATACATAACCTTGTAGCTCGTCGACCTGTCTATAAATTCAACAGAGTTAGGTTTTACTCACGCACATTCTTCATTCTTTAATCGGTTCTCTTTGAACGCCGCTGTTTTTTCGTGTAAGGTGAATTAAGATTCCATTGCCAAATCAATTCTGTTTCACTAGTCTGTTGGCATTTGTCCCTAATCAAAGTCGGAGTTGTTATGAGCTACCGATTAGTAGGTTAAATTTGTGTTTTCGTTTTTCTATTTTGGTTAAATCCGTCGTCGGTTTTATAAAAATCTGAAAATTAAAGATTAGGGTTTTATGGTGTTTGGGAAATGATGCTTAGGGATATCGACCTTTCTTAGACGCAGTTTTGTGCTCTGCCGAACGAAATCTTATTGTTATGAGATCTTTATCCCCTGTTCATTAATTAACTTACTCTTCAATGAATTTTCGTCGAATTGATTGGTTTGATTGTTGATACCTGTGATGATAATCCAAAGGCTTGTTTCTCAGAGACATTCGCAGTGGCCGCCTAAGAGCTTTCGCCTTCGCCAGGCTTGAGAGCTAATGCTGTCTATCTCCTTCCTTGGATGTCTGAGGTTTTTAACTTTTTTGAAAAAGATGGTTTTCTCAATGATGATTTCATAGATGCCGAGTCTTGATATACGCGTTGGACTCGTTTTTCTGTTATTGGTCATTAATACATGTAAAATAATTTTGTATCCTTTTTATTTTTATTTTGATATTTTCTTTTATTTTGTAAACCATTTATAGTCGAAGCATAATATAAAGCACATCTCACTCCTCTCTTTTTTCGGACTTCTCCGGCCTTCCATTGCAATCAGAATCCACCACCGTCACCGTGATCTATTTTAACACCAATCTAAACTTAAATTGAAAAAATCAAGATCTAAACAAAATCAAGAAACTCACATCAATCCAAACAAAAAGAAAACCATACAAATCCAAACAAAATTAAGTAAAACACATCAATCTAAAACAAAAGCCAAGAAAACAGTGTGATTGTATTACAAAGGTGTATTATGGAGACTTGGAATATTGACATTGTTAAAAAATAAATTAGATGTTAAAAGAGACAATTAATAAAATTAATTTCTCTTCTAAATATTTGGTATTCTTTAAGATCATAAGTCATCGTCATTATGATAGATGTCGACGTTATATACCAACAATGGCAAAAGGGGAGCCATGAGGCAAGTCGGACATTTGGGCTTGAGTCGGTTCCCTCACCTTTGATATAGTAAGAGTCTATTTAGTGTTAAAAATTTGGCCGTTCGAGAGTTTTTTTAGAATTATGAGAAAACTAGTCTTAGATCTATTTCTGAACAGAGCATTAGATTGTTATGGTTTTTATGTGTATCACCACAAATTAGTTTTAGATCTATGCATGAAGATTGTATGATGGATCAAGACGGTATTTAGTGTTAGTAATTTGGGGTTTGAGAGATTGCTTTGAATTTTGAGAATTGTGAAATATTTTCTAGTTGAAGTATTTTGATGGACAATGTTGGGGTTTGAGAGATTGCTTGGAATTTTGAGAACTGCAAGAACATAAAATGATTTTGAGAATTGCAAGAACATAAAATGAGATTGTTATGATTCGGTGCTACACCACCGTCATTGTTGCTCATTGCCAACATTGTCCACGACCATAATTGTAGGAAAAGAAAACAACTTCATTGTCTTCTTTAACAGCAATTCGAACTTAAATTGAAAAAGATCAAGATCCAAACAAAATAAAAGAAACTCACACCAATCCAAACAAAATAAAAATTTGGGGTTTGAGAGGTTGAATGAAGGATCAAGAGTCGGTATTAGTTGAGGAGGCACCGCCAATGAAGAAACGGAAGAAACAATGGAAAGAAATACTCATGAGTCGCCTCTCAGTTAGCAACCCTTGTTTAAGTCTTTGTCTCGACCTTGCCCTTCAGATTTTACTCGATGTAGTCAGGGCGTTCCAAGTTATCAGCCTCCATATTCTTCTCTTGGATACATTCACAAAATACATTTAACCTGTGACCATTAATACCTTTTAACATTTTTTTTTCATTTTGTTACTTTTAATCTCAATTGCACCATGATCATACATTAGTAAAAATGAATAGTCCTACCTGCCGGGACCGTAATTTACCAGAAAACCATTTAAGACGAGAGTCATAAAGTAAAACCTTTTGACATATCTCAAATCTCTTACAGGAAAGATACTTATCATGGAATACTTAGGTCTTGTCTTTGTAGATGCGTGAGTTCTCAAACGCTTCATTTTTTATCTCCTCCAACTCTTGGATCTCTAGCTTTCGATGAGTACCTGCTTTGTCAATCCTCATGATTAGCTTTTTGACTTTGCCAAACACGAGTTTATAAGGTGACATCCCGATTGGAGTTCTTTATGCGGTTTAGCCCAAAGTGATGGAAACTTCCTGTTGTGTTTTGCTCTATCTAGCACCTTGCTAGGTGTGTGGCTTTTAATCTTAACTATCTTATTAAACATATTACACATTTCTTGAAATTTAAGAGGTACAATACCTACTACCTTATGTAAAACTTATTATCCTATACACTCATGAATCATTTACGGAATTAATTTGACAATTAAAAAATATTTTTTATTCCTAGAATCACAATTACTCACTAAAACCCTAAATCAGTCGTCTTCATCGAGATTACCTCATGTTACCATAACTCTTCTTACTCATCTGTTACCACTACCGTCGTCTGCTACGCCACTTCTCCTTCTTCGCAAACTACCATCGTACCAACAACATCTCTTCTATCTCTCTCCTTACTCTGTTCACTCTCCGGTAGCCCTATGTTACCATAACCCTTCTTACGCATCTATTACCACCACCATCCTGACGCTGTCGTTACCACCACCGCCGTCTGCTACCCTGCTAAACTCTAACCTTATATCGCTGCCACCATCAACGCCACCGTTACACACCATTCACTGGAAACCCTAACCTTAAGTTACCTCCACCATCGCCCCCTCTCTTGCCCCTCTCTCCACAACCCTAACCGTCACCAACAGTGAAGAGGTGAAGACAAGGACAATGTTAAGCCATCAATTTCTGATTCACACCAGCAACACACAACTCCATCACTCATCCTCACAGACGCCGCAATCTCCGATGCCCCCAAATCCGCCGTTAACCAGTGGCTAAGCGTTGACGGCCACCCAACTCCGACTCTATCATCGGTGGCCTGTTTCCTTCAACCGACTATCTCTCTGTCCTCCATCTCCGCCCTCCTCAAATTGATTTTACAATCACCAAACATCAGAATTCGTACGTGGGGATGGTGGCGAAAAGTTCTATTATGAAGAAAATAGAAAAGGGTTCTACCGAGTAGACCGCATCACTCCGTAAGGAGGAAGCTGCTGATTTCCTGGTGACTTTGTATTATCATGTTTAATACTTATAATCATGTATAAGAACCATTGCTATCTTCATTCAGATTTCTTGCATTTGTTCCAAAGTTTAATAAAGCTGTCATCTTTTCTTTGAAATTTTATTACCAGTAACCCCAAGTTAAAACGCAGCCCATTGTTAATGATTCAGTCCTTTTTTTTTAGTTTATGTGAAGGTAGTTGATTGATTGATTTGTATTTGTTTTTGTATGAAATAGCCATTAGAGGGTGGTCCAGCTCGAAAACTCGAAAACTGCCAACTACAGAAAACTCAGGCTTTAAAGGCAAGAACATCAAGAACAGGTAGGATTTGGAACTCTACAATCCAGATTTTAATGTAGTTGTTCTCTTATTTCCTATTTCTTACTGATTTGGTTTTCTAGGTCATGTGATAGCCTATAATTTATACATTGAATCAGTAGTCACCAAATTACATTCATGAATCATAAATTATTTCAAATCCAAATGTAGATTCACTTTATCATCATAAAAGACTACATAATACTATAATCACTATTTTACTATTTACTATTTTTAGTTGATTTTTAGGTCGTGCGGATCAAGAAAGTTCATCAAGCATTGATGTTAAGAAGCTAACCCCTTCTCATGTTATGTAGAAAATTGTAAGATTTACACCTCTTTTTCTTGCCTCCAATTAAGAAGCTAACCCATATTTATATTGTTCATCCATGTTTTTATATTTATTTGATGTTGTTTTAGCCACTAGAAAGGGGATTCTGAATTATTTGATTTTATACGTATTTGATGTTGTAGGGACAAGCAATAAGTGCCATCAATTACTTTTTTGTTAACCAAAGTAGTCATTGGAGCAAATGGATCTGGCAAGTCCACATTTTCCACGGTATGTGCTCTTTATAGCCTATTTCATCCTGAAAACACTGTCAGGTCAACATCTCATTCTATTTATACCTTTATAATGTCTGACTTTTGTGGTTCAAATGGGTTTATATTTGAAGTTCAATCAAATTCAAATTTCCTGTTACATTCATTAGAATTTTGTGCACTCAAACTTTCATATGCCTAAATCTATCAAGTATCTTATGTATATAACATGTTAATATCTATTTTTTCCATGATCTTGATTGTTTCTAGATATAATTTTGTTGTTTTGCAGACTGAATTGGGAATGGTGGTCTAGAGCTGGGGGATGTAGGTTGCCAAGATGTAGTAAGATTGCAGCCGATCTATATTGCAATTCCACACGTCTTTGCTTATTTTTCTGTAGTGATGATGTCCTGAATATTATCCAAGTAATTATCTACTTAGTTCCGGTTTTATATAACTTTATAAGTTTCCTTTTTGCGTTTTTATCCTTATCACACGATTGTTGGGTTTTCTTTTATCCTTGTGTATGCAATTTTTTGAGGGACTATTCATGTGCTAACATTAAAATCTTATTTGGTCAACAAGACATGTTCATAAGGTTATTTTCATGATAAGTGAATTTTCTTTTACCCATTATAGCAATATACTTACATGCTATTACTAATTAAGGCATGTCATATTAATTTTTACATATTGTTATTATTTGTAAGAAATATAAGCATGTAGATAATCAAAGTATGTGATACAATTGCAATCAAAATCCAAAGTATTTTGTCATTTGTCTTTCTTAGATGTATGTAACCTGTAAGAAATATAAACACATAGATAATCATAGTAGGTGATGAGAAACTTATATGTATGTAACCTATAATCAACACTGAATTTGAATCATGACACATGTGATTAATGCTCGGTGTGTATATGTGTCATGTGTGTCTTTTTATCATTGTCTCTGTCTTTATCTTTGTTCCCTGTGCACATATGATTTGTGCCTTTTCTTTTTTAATCTTTGGTTCTTGAACTATGACTCATCTTTGATTTTCTGGAAAATTGTCTTAAGTGATCAATAAATGCACTTTGGGACTAATTTTTAAAGAACTTTGAATGAACTTTGGTTCTTCCACTGTGACTGATCTTTGGCTGTGGAACAATTTGATTTTCAAGGGCATTTTTGTCCAAAAAAATAGTTATTTAGTTATAGAAATATAAGTAATGAATAAGCTGGAGCATGGAAAGTTTTTTTGAAGGAAGGAGTGTTTTGGGAGTTAAAGAAAAGTGGAAGAAAAACATGTGTAAAAATAATAGTACCATTTTCTGGTCTGTGGGTTTTATGATTAAAATATTTATTTTTTATTTTGGAAAATGTCGATTACTACAAAATTATTTAGTGTTTCTTTTTTACAAAAGTTGTGATACTTCTTTTGAGTCTATTTTGTAAAAAGTTAGAGGCTTTTTTTGTTTTATATTTTTTTTACCAATGAAATTCTAAAGAAAGGAATCTAGATTTGCTAAACTTAGATTTTTACGAGTGGTGTTACAACTTACAAGTTTATTTGGAGAAAAAAATGTAATACAATTGTTAAATACGGTACTACATGGCATTGGATATGGTCTATTTGTTTACGAAATTAGCAAATTCAATAATTAATTGTTTATTATATTATGATTGGTCTGTTTTTGTATGAAAATTTCAATTTCAATAAGTATAAAAACTATTTTAATGAAAAGCTTCATTTGAGAAGTAAATTATCCACCCTTCAATATTCTTTCTAAATATATACTCTAAATAATAGTTATATGTAACACCCCGAATTCATAAGATCCTTGAAAAGGAAGAAAACCTCAAATGAGGAAGAGACTCGTCGAGTAGATGGAGTGACTCGACGAGTAGGAGCGCGTTTTGGGTCGCGGGTTTAGTGACATACTCGACGAGTCAGTAGACTGACTCGGCGAGTTGGCCAGGTTTGGGGAAAACCCTAAATGTGGGCCTTGTGCCCTATTTAAAGAACATTATAGCATTCCCTCAGCCTACTTTACTACTCCCTCAAGTCCAGAAATGAAACCCTAGCCATCCAACTCCATTCTTGAGCATTGTGAAGCTAAAAGTTGTATTGGTGGTGCACTTCTTGGAAGATTGGAAGCAAGGAACGAGGAGGAGAGTTTAGATCCAACATCTACTTCATTTTGGCAATTAATAGAAGGTAACAAGTTGTTACCTTGAGCATTCATTTGATAGATCTCTTCATCTTGAGTTTCATGGCCTTTTCTAGCATATTGGTGGCTAGTGTTTGTATGGGGCATGATCTGAAGTTTGCAACTTCAGATCTGGACTCCCCAAGGTCCCTAATGCATTAAAGTTTCAAGCTTTTAAGACATGAAGCCCTCCTCCTTAGTAAAACCCTTCTTTTGTAGCTTAGTTTTATCTTTTGGGAACTATTCACACGTAAAGGTTGCAACTTTACGTGGAAAGCATGCTCTAGGAGGATAAATCTACCTTTGGGAGAAGTTGTTTGGCTTGGAAATCGTCTATATAGATTGAGACATAGAGGGACTCGGCGAGTCAGTCTGCTTTCTTGCCCTAGAATCCTTCTGTTAAAGGGTATGAGTTGAGTTGGTATGGGACTCAGTCAGTCTGGGTCCATAGCGGGTATGAGGATCATCGTACTCGGCGAGTTCAATGAGGAACTCGGCGAGTCTAAGGCAATCTTCTTAGTTTATGAAGATGGACTCGACGAGTTGTTCATATAACTCGACGAGTCATAGTCTGGACATTCATAAGAGGGAGATGAACTCGACGAGTTCAAGGAGGAACTCGGCGACTCGGTTGAAGAAGGTCCCGATTGTAAGACTGAAGGAGAACCCGTCGAGTTCTTGCTAGACTCGACGGGTAGGATCGGTGGTTGTTGCGAGTTGGAGAAGCATGGACTCGACGAGTTGGTAGACCAACTCGGTGAGTCAAGTCAACTGGAAGTTGACTTTGACCGTTGACTTTGACCAAGTTTGACCAGGGTGGACTTTTGGAATATTGTGGCCTAAATGTTACTTTGGGTATTGATAGTTCGGGGAGCCGAAGGATCAGCAGTTCAGAAGTTGCCGGCTAGCAGTCAGAAGTGTTTAGCTAGTCTTCATCAGTGTGAGGTGAGTCTCCTCACTGTGTGCATGGGTCTACAACCACAATGTCGGCCCATTATGTTTATGCTTATGGTTATGTGTAGTAGGAAGACCCGGGGGTTAGCCCTAGGCACTTATTGTGATTTGTTCGGATTTAGATCCGTTACCGGGGTTAGCCCGATGCAATTTATATGTTCCAGACTTCGGCCCGAAGCCGGGTGGTACCCGAGGCAGTAGTGGATGTGTAGTTATACTTGTTGTCTTTGTGATACTTGTATGTGCCTGGTAGGGAGGTGGGTCGGGCGAGGTCTCGTATCTCATCACTAGCCGAGTATGGACGGGGTTCCGTATCTCATTAGTAGCAGAGCAGGGGCGAGGCTCGAGTTAGGAGGGAGGTGAGTGTGGGTGGGGGCCCGTATCTCACTATCAGCAGGAGCGTGGATGGGGTTCCATGGCTCACCAGTAGCAGGACAGGGGCGGGGCCCAAGATAGGCGATGCCTTACATCAGTAGTACAGTAGAGTATGTTTAGCTTTATGATATGTGTTATGTTATATGCTTGTATTTGTTAATAGCGGGCGAGGCCCAGAGACAGGCG